GTGATTAGTGATATTTATATGGAAGCATCCTCAGGTAGCGCAGATTCAAGTATCTTCAAATCAGACCGGGCCTAAGGTGGGGCCACAATGGGCAATCAAAGTTTTACTTAGGAATATATGGGAAAATTCTATTAAAAGGTATCTTCTCAAAAACAGCAAAGCAATGATTAGTCATATTAATATAGACTGATTTATTGATTATTATTGTTAAACGAGTCGGCAATATTTCAGCCATATTTCGGTGATTAAATTAAGTGTATATGACCATTTTTGAAGTTTTTGGTTTCTCTGGCCATATTTACATGTATATGGAGCATTGCCGTGCATTGTTATGCGACATGTTCTGATGGACGACAATATGAGCAGTACACATCGTCGCCGGCGACAATATGAACAGGACGACAAAATGTACCGGGTACCATCACAATTACGCTGCATAAAATAGCATGAGAGACACTTCAGTGTGATTCATACACCAATTGCATTCACAGAACTACCAAAAAACAACAAAAGAAATCTTTAAGCAACAATATCTGTGGGGCGACAATATGTACAGTGAGGGTGAGGCACAAAATGTCGCCAGCGACAATATGTACATGTGTAACTTTCAGCCGGCGACAATATGTACAGATGGACGACAATATGTGCAGTGAGGGTAGGTACATATTGTCGCCGACGACAATATGTACAAAACGACAATATGTACCGTCATACCTTTCCAGGCTTTAGCCAGGTAAAAACAGAGTCTGGGACTTGCGTATTTGTCTTTCCATCGCCTTTATCTTTTTTCCCCTTAGCTTCTTACAGGATTCATATCCCGCACCGCAATATTGCCGACGTCGCCATTTTTGACAGTATGAAAAGGAAAATGTGCGTGCATATAACATCATAAAAATTGAAATTGTCATTTATGTTGTCAAATAAAAGAGTTTTTACACATTATGACTTCAGATCATAGAGTTTTTATCGTTATAAATTTAGTGAAGTTATACTTTTGTATACTGGTAATCTGCAAAGAAAGAAAACATCACTGACAATGCTACCTTTTAAAGTGAAAAATTACGATGCACAGTCCACCCTCATTTTAACATACTCTGAATGCTATCTTCATATGCGTATGGCATTACAACAAATCATAAATCTATGTCAAAATAGCGAAAATATGTGCAAAGAATAAATATGTTTGGTTTGGTATTTTATGAAATATTGAAAAAGTTCGCGTTTTTCTGGGAATCCTCGTTAAATAGCAAGTAACTCCCTTACAAAAAAAAATAATAAAATAAAGTAAAAATTAAAAAAAAAAGAGAATTAAAAAAAATATATATGAAATATTTAAAAAATAAAAAAAAAACTTCTGAGTTTTGTCACAACTACATATTTATTGAATATAGAGCATGCAAAAGAAAGTATATGCGAAACTACTAAGTTTATAGTTAAATGAAATTTCTGACTGGGAGCATCCCCTCCGTGACACAGTTATTTATTGTTTATTTCCACTAAACTTGAAATGTATACCTAAATGACTTCTTACAAGAGAGCTGCCTTTTAAATAAACTTTAATCAATTTAAGTCACACCATCTGTAAAAGCTCGATAAACGCACTGGATTTTAATTTCTCTTAAAAAGAGACATTGTATACACATTCGTTCTAAGGTGCTTTAATTTCTTCATGAATGAAGTGGTATGGTTTACAGCTGAATTTTCTTTTTACCGGAATTGATGAGAAACCATGAGAAACTTTCAATACTTTTTTAACACAGTTTCATTGTCATCTAATTTAAAGCATTGATAATTTAATATGTGATGAGAAAAACAATAGAAAAACACAGTTCATACTTGGGCAAATTAAAACATCTTGATTGAGTGTCACAAGAATTACGATATTCCTAAATTCTAAGCTTTGAAAACATTATGAAGAAACAGCTTTAGAACACTGCGTACTATGTTAGTATTCTAATTATCAAAGCTCTATTTGCAGACCCAGAGTGAGTATGGACGAAATCTGAATTTCTAAACGCTACGGAAGGATGATGCATGGCGATATTTTTTTTTACACGACTGAAAATGTTGATAATGTCATCTCCTTTAACTTCCGTTTCCTAAATCTAAATGTGTCTTAAAAATCAAAAGCATTTTCCTGTTCGATTTTTTTCCTGTACATGAACTTGCAAGATACAGAATTTGGGGGTCTACTTAAAAAGTGTAATACATTGTAAAATACAATAGATGAAAATTTTTTATCTCTTTTACTGAAATATGTACATTCTATCTATTGTGTGGTTTGTATATTAAGGAACGGGTGTAACTGTATGTTTGTGGAAATTCTTCTAAGGGTAGATAAACGTAGATGGTAAATGTGAAATATGAAGAGCAAAGAGCATCAACAAACTCCAAGTGAAAATGATCAAATTAAAATTAATTGAACATAAAATCAAGTAAGAATTTAATTGATAGGCAGTCATCAAATTATTTTAAGAATGAAAAAAGGATATAATCGTTTCTACTACAACAATTAATATATTCTTAGGTTATATTAATAATTTATATGCAAGAAATAAACAGAAATTTATCAGATCAGGAATTATTAATACATGACACATAAACTTTATGTCTTAAGTATATTATAATGGTGCACTGACCAATAATGATGAATCATCTACTAGATTACACCTGGTACATATTTTGTCATTCTATTATAGGAACCAAAAGGCATTGTAAGTTTAAATGTAAACTATCCAGTGCTTACCTGATGCGTAATGAAACATTTAATTAAGTTTCAATTTTAAACAGTGTACCTTTGCTGGTAACAGTAACTTTTTGTCTGTTTCCAATGAATTGGACATCAACGTCGATCAATACTGAATAAGGGGGTTTGTTATTTATTTAACAGTATACCATTATGAGTGTACCCCACAAACAGAAATATAGGATATAAACTGGACTGGTGGGAACTCTATTGAGAACTGTGGGTTTTTATTATATTAAATGAATCGAAAATAGGTCCTTGCTTGAGAACACCTTTTCAGCTTTACAATTACAGAATTATGTATTCTAATGCTTTCTATACTTGCATCGTGCAATCCCTATCAAAACTGTAAGAGGTGTATTCTAGCATTTTGACATATTCTTTTTCGGAAGCTATAACATCACTGATAAATATAAATACATGCATTTCAGTAAATGAAATAAGAACAAACCTGTAGAGTCATGAAGAATTTTATACATAATTCTATTTCTATTCACCAATGCAGCATATATTTCATCACAGCTTTAACATGGTCCATGATATAAAATACTTGTGTTTAAAGTTTTATTGTGTAGGAGAATTTATTGTAGCATTTTGATAGAATTTCGTAGAAATTTCAATGCCGACATCAAAAACCAACAAATTATTATCTTAAGTGTAGTTGACAATTACCAAATCTTACTGAAAGCAAGGTAAAACTGTAAGAGGGTTAGTATTTTGAAAGAATCTCAGGGAAATACATGTATGTATTCGTGGCAAAACTGTTTGTCCAATTCAAAAACAGATATATGTATATGGAATAATGTGTCTTTGTATAGTCTACTTATGTTCCAAGATTTAATTGTAATCGAAGTAAACTGCAAGAGAATTAGCTTTTTTATAGAAATTCACAGAAATTTGCGTTTTTGTAATCAATGCGACACAGTTTGGCAAAATAAGAGGAAGCATTTACAGGATTATGTATTATGCTTGTGTACTATTTTGTTATGCAGGCCAAAACTTTAGACGGGCCAACATTTTGAAAAATTGTTTACAGACAAACACATGAACACCTTTAAGTTACTACTGCCTGGGCTGTTCTAGTTTTTGACATTTTCATCTCATATATCATGCCTTATGTATGTTTGACATAACTTAGAGTTGTTATTAGTGTATCATACTTCAAATAGTATTACCCAACTTTCAACAAACTTCAAAATATGCTTTGTCCTTGCTATTTAGCGTTCTGCTTATATTTTCCAATAGTTTGTGACAATTTGGTGCAATTAATTTATGTAATAGTTAACCTATAAACATTTGTTTTGAAAAACAGGAAATACTACAGTCAACAAACCTATCTGATCTGTTTCGCAGGTCATTCTTCCTGTTTTCTTAGGCGTGAAGTGCGTATATACATGTATCATCATTTAGCGTACGTACTAACCCGGCAAAGGGTGTCTCACAAAGATGTCAAAATCATTTTTAATTTAATTTTAATCCCTTCAAATATTTTTATAAGCAAGAATCAACTACTATCTACTATAAGCAAACAAGACCTATGACTAACGCTGTGTCAAATTATTTCGACACAATATATTGAATCAGAAATCCGATGAGATACATCATAGAAATATGCATTTAGCTGTTGTTCATAAGACAGTTTTGTTTCTGAAGAAAATAAAATCATTGTGTTTTTAATATCTTTAGTTATTTTTCGAAGAGTCTCTTATAGAACGTGTATCCACGTAAATATTTAAGTTTCTTCTAACCAGTCAATTTTTAATGAGAAATTTTTATCAATATTTCAGATATGATGCTCCTGCTTTTAAATGCGAATTTTTTGTAATGAAAAGGATAAAAATAACGAAGAAAAACAACCCTGATAGAATAAGGAGATATACTGCATAAATATTTTCAAAAAACTTCTTTAATTCTGAAAACATTTTACCTGTCTCCTCATTTACTTGTTCATTGTGAAGCTGTTGGGTGGTTATCAATAAGCCTTACCGTATCAAGTTATTTTTCATTTAAGGTGCGCACAATGTCAAAATTGATACCTGTACCAATGAACCATAAAGTAAAATGAAAACAAAGAAAATACTCAACACCCAGTAAGGTAACGAATAATTTGGCCTTATGTATATTTTAACAAAAGACAAGGGAAAGTCTGTATACTGTAAATTATTGAAAGAAGAATTTAAATCTTGTTGTGCTTCTTTAGGATTAAATCCAAATTAATTGATTCAACTTGAAGATGTTGGATTTTAATATGAAAATGTGTTTCTGTGCAATTTTATTTGTTTTTGGACAGTTGATTCTTTTTGCAGGTATTCATTTTTCAGTATATTTTTGTTGACAAACTTGCTCATTTTTTTAAAATAAAACATCTTTAATGTTTGCAACAAATGAAATATAATTCAATATTTTTGAAGTTATTGAATTCAATTACATTAAGAACAATATATAGTACAAATGGTTTAGATTCTTACTTTTCCAATTTTTTATAAAAGATAAGTCACATTTACTAAATTCATTGTTAGCTTTTCAATCTTTCGTGTAGAAGGATCATGCACATTTCCTAGTTACTTGGTTGGAGAATGGACAAGTGCAGAAAGGGGCAGTCTAACCATCACAACAAATACTATATATAACTACAAAGTGTTCATTCCGTCTGCGGACCCGAATAATCCTACGATTGACTATTACAATTTCACTTGTCTAACTCAAGTCAGTACGAATCGCTATACAATCAAGTATGTTTACATACCAATGGACAATAATTATTTTTGTTTAAATAATTCTAAAAAAATATATATATGAATTATAATTGATAATTAATTTTAATTACGTGTTAATTCTTTTAAGGAAAATTCAAGCAGAATACTTTTGCTATCAAATACGCCTACTATCATTAACATATTTATATCTCTCATTAACAATAGTATGTTGGAAAAATAAAAATGAATTCTTCTGTGATGACAGTACTTGAAACTTTCAATTTTTTGCAGATCTGTCAACTTCAATGTACTGTTTGGAACCAACGTCTTCTTTTATATCTGCCTTGATATCTATAATGTAAATGACCAGTTAAACTATTACTACCATGCAACAGGTACTGTACAATCATATTTGAAACATACAAAGTTACCTTTGGATTACAGGAAACCATTTCATGACACCTCAAGAATTTTCCATTTTTTTCTACCAGAAAGGACTTATATAATTTTGTCTTCTCTTTACTCCATTGGTATCAAAAAATACTTGTTGAAAGAGAACAGCCATTATTTTACTTCTTTCATGTATTTAACTTATTTTTTTTTTCATTGAAATAATTTTTTACAACATTAATCCATTAAAGTTAAGAAAAAACTAGAAAGTATTTTTTAAGTATGCTAAGAAAAAAGCTCTAAGAAATAAAGTTTTGCTACTTTTATATTCAAATCCATAATAATTTCTGTTTTAGCTGTTGATAATTTGATTCGTGAAAACATGGTGGGTATTGCTGAGGATAGATCTAATTCCCAGGAGAGTATTTGTACACGGAGCTACATAGATCCTGTCAACTTCATAACGCTACTACGAAAGGGTAAAAAGACAAAAGATGAATAAATCAAAAAGAAAGAAAAACAATGCCGTGTATATATCTATGGAGATATAATTTTGCGGTTAAGTAGGGCATAGTCAGCATTAATCGCCTATTTGATACCAACAGTTGTTGCTTTGTTAGAGCTTATGTTGTCAGTTTTACGCTTGACGAATCAAATTTAATATATGTTTTATATCAAAATTATTAATTAAAAAACTCGATCATGTCCACTGTTAACGCGGGAACACAGTTTCTAATTTGACGATCGCTTGGTATAGTTAAAGGTTGAAGGCTTGAATTTTGTCATTTTTCACAGATGCGGTGGAAAGTAATGCAATTCAGACTTTATGCCCTGAAACCTTACAGATGGTGTATAGTAACATCACATTTACAAGTAACTCGGCTACATCAGACAACTGTGCTACAGCACAACTGGATGGCTGCACGAATAAAACTATGCTTAATTTCTCACAGGATGGATGCACTCAAACAACCCTTTCGGGTAAAGGACATTTTTATATTAATTTTGATAAAATATCTATTTTAAATTTGAGTTATAAAGCAGAAGTTACCCTATTGGTTTCATCGTAGATGGCGGTGTTTACACGTGTATCTATTCGAAAACTATTGATGGTCAGCTGTATTTTTCTGCGTGGAATAATGACGAGACCATTTCTTCTACAACTTACAGATTTTCCTGCTTTGTAGGTCAATTTTGCGTAATAAATAATGACTATAAAATACTTGTTGGCATGAACATTTATAATCAAAGTAGCTTGTATCTGAAAGTGTAGCACATATATTAAATACTGAAATAATGTATCTGCAGAAAATGACGAATTATTTGAATGGTACGGTGTTTCTGGAAGAGAATCCAAACTTTTGTGGAAATTCTGTAAACTTTACAGAGTATCCATCTGCAAGTGCTTCTGTGGAGATCAAAGACATCACAGGTTGTTCACAACAGCTTTAATTTTCAATATTAATCAAACTATCATTTAAAATGTCTAGAAACACTTTATATTAAGTAAATATAGCTCATCCATCTCTATTTTAGATTCCTGTCAAACTATACTCCCAAGTAAGTAAGTCAATATTTCAGATTTAAAAAAATTATATGTATTTCTTATCAATATTGGTTCTGTATGACATTCTTTTTCACAATTTTTTTCTTTTGCTTTGTTAGCAACAACTGAGGCTCCTTTCGTAGCCGACCTAAACTACCTCTTCATACTTTTGGGACTGTTTATGATTGTCGTAATTTTTATTTCTGTTCTGCTATTCAAACGCCTTAAACTTTATATGAAGAAGAGAAAAGAGGAAAGGGCATTTGATGTAAGAAAAAGAGAGAAAGTGAGACCTCAACATTTCAACCCTAAAAGATCAATCGTCAACACATCGAAACCTGTTAATTATTTTAAACCTAAACGACCGATCCAAATCGTACCTCTGTTCAAATCCGAGTTCAGTATCGAGAATCTGCCAATCCAACCGCCTCCAAAGATAACATGCATTTACACGGACTCGATCGTGGATTACATGCGAGGAAGGATTCGGAGACCAGATGGACTAAGTTTATACAGCTTTGATTCCGCCATCTTTAGAGCAACAAGTCCACTATCAAGCATTTCTGTGGTTAGTAGATATACACCTGATAAGGACGATGATGACGATGACGTGTCATTTGGATCGGCATCTTGCTAGCGCATTAAAACAATGAAATATAATCTTACATTTTACTTTATGACCTTTTCCGAACACTGTAGAGATTGCATAAGTAAACTCATTAAATGTTTGAATTCAGATGGATTTTGGTTTTTAATTGAAATGTTTTGATTGTGGTTGTGGAGAAGGTACATTTTAAATTGAAAACTTGGCTTCAGAGCATTCTCAATCTCTCTATCCAGAATATCACGTAGAACAGTCTTCGTATTTGAACGTTTATCATCATCCTTAAATTTTGATTGAGCAAAAATTAATTCTATCACTATCAGAGGAGGATGTGTATAATGGCTTCATGAACATGATGCAGCACAATTTAAGTTTTAAAGCCTTTGGCATCTACCTAAATAATGAACGAAAGACACTTGATTTTATTGTGAAAGAAATAGCTTAGCTAGTGGTACATTTTGAAGACAATTATTGTTCAAAGGAATTCGTCATTACTGTAAAAAATCTTTACCGGAAACAGAAAAAGGACCATGTTTTAAGAAGGATATAAATCATATTGTGCATTCTGTGAGAGAAAGAAATGATTTAAGCACTTCTGGCCTCGATCAGTTCTTTCTCTTTAATAAGTTTGACAGTTTAAGGCTTATATCCTTCACAAAAATGCATCTTATGGTAAATTGCTCAATTTTTTAAAGTTATCTCCCATTATTCAAATTTGTTTATGCATTAACAAGCGACATTTTGATGAAAAACCAACCACTACAATGGCCCCGTATTGTTGTTAAATTGTCTGCTTATTCCTTATCGCTTTCCATTCATCTCTTCTTTATCCAACACTTTTGGACATTTAATTTAAAATATTTCACTGTTTGAATGTGTGTACGTTTTCAAGCACAATACATGGCATTTAGCTTACCTTTAAAACTGATCGATTATAATGCAGTTAGATAAACATGCTTTCGACCAACTGAATAACGGACCCTCGATCCATTAAAATGAATGAAAGGAACATATTTTTATTGAAAGGAGTAGACGTTCAAGCTTTAGATAAATATTAAATATATCGGGAATATCTTAGTCATTGCATTGTGTACAACTTGGAAGGAAAAAATCATGGATTTGTGATACATATAAGAATTTACAAAGGTAAACATTCTCTTATTTTTTTTATATTAGTATATGTCACAATATATTGTTAAATAAAAGTGTGTTTACATTTTTTACCTGGGTTGTTTATTAAAATGCGTAATTGTTTTTCTGGGTATTTTAGCAGTTATATTCACCGCTTATGTTCATTGTGCTTTGTGTTGCCATAACATTTCAATGTTACTCTGGCTCCTGCTATCCTTTATGAGTATTTTTTTTCATTTTAAAGGTCGTCAATTCATGCATAATGTAATAAACCAGGGAAATCAATATTCTGTGTCCTGGGATCATTGAAAGAAAATGCAGAATAAAATGAAGTGGTTATTTTTTCTACATGTTTTCGTAGATGTCACAGGTAACTCTCTCTCTCTCTCTCTCTCTCTCTCTCTCTCTCTCTCTCTCTCAGGCATACAACTTTTTACACAATTATTTCAAGTTTAAGTTAGAATTATTTTGTGACAAAAAGCATCAGAATCATCGATTTTGAAAGTACGTTCAATTTTAAATCGCTATTTTATTTAAAGCAATCGCTTTGTTAATTTATATTTATGTCCATGTTTATGGTTAATAGTATATTTTTAACATATCCTATGTGACAATGAAGCCAGTTTGTGAAACATTGTAAAGGATAATGGATATTGACAAATCAGAATCAATGTTGTTTAAAGAGTCTGCAAAATCAATCACTCACAGTGCCGTAAATGTTCCAATGAATTATTTTTACAGCAATTTCTGACTCGTCATGCGAGTTTCCAGCGGATCTAAGAGGAGCGTGGATCAGCTCTGACAAAGGATTCCTAAGATTTAGCGAGTCTGTTATTTATGATTATCACGTCATTTTACCTGGAGTGACGTCAGTCGACTTCATCTGTACAGAAAATAATGGGACACACTACCTGCTCAAGTAATTAGCGTTTCTTCTTTTATCTGTTCTCTTTTTTCTCTTCTATTGTCACCTATGGAATTATGTACATTCAGTGTAGTTTATTTTATGAAATCTATTTGAAATCTACAGCATTCAACACCCTATAGCACACACGAAACCTTGTCATGTCGTGGTAGAATACACAATAGGAACTATATACACTAGAAATACTAAAATGTATATTTTTGGCTAAATCTAATTAAAAACAATTACTTTATTAGATTGTTGTAAAAACATAACAATTCTACATTTAAGATTAATTTGTCATTTTCCATCGCGATATTCATTTGCGATATTTAAGGAATGACTGTCTAGTATGTTGGGTATGCCAGGGCATCAACGATAGTTGGAAACGTGGGATAATTTGCATAACGCTCGAAGCCCGTTATGCATTAATTATCCCACGTTTCCAGCTATCGTTGATGTCCCTGGCATACCCAACAAACTAGACAGTGATTCCCTATATTTACGTTTATATGTGAAATAAAATTGTAAATATAAATCTAAAAATGCGGTCTAATAGATTTTAAATACACGAGGCCTCACATGTTCATTTCAGTAGTCCCCGCCGACTGACGTCAGACACAAACAGCCGCACGAGATTGACATGCATATAAGGCTCCTGATCTTTCACCTGACGAAATTACATTCCGGTTGAATTATCAAGAAATCATTCCACCTAACTTTCAAAGAGTTATCACATATAAAACAATTAGAAATGGAAATATTTAACTATCTACGTCAGAATGGCTCTTGCATCTATTAACCATACCAGTTAAGCTCTCAAAGGCGCTACATTCATAATAAAGATGAATGAAATTAACATTATGAAAATTGTGTAAATATTATAAGCATTGCATGTCATCAGTCGTATATCAGCACTTGTCCGTGGCGAAAAATTATCATGCCGCACGTTAACTGCGCTAACACGCGGCCAGGTGCTGTTATACGACCGACGACATCCAAAAAGCCATAAAAGAATTTAATTCTTTAATTATTGCTATTGTTTTGAATGGAATATCAATCATATACAAGGTATCAATAAGATGAAATGTAATTATCATATGATTTTAATATGTTTTACAACAACAATTGGTCGCCCGCGTGGCGCAGTGGTTATTGCGTCTAGCTGCTCTACAGTCGCAGAGTAAGGAGCTGATCCTTACGTCGCGGGTTCGAATCCACTGAGGGACGTGGAGACCGGTTCTTCGCATGTGACCGTAAAAATGTCGCAGTAGGTGTTGGCACGAAAAAGAACCCTCACTCTGCTCAATGGCCTTGAGTGCCAAGTATAGGTATTTTGCAGCCCTCCACCGGCAAGTGGTGGCGTCTCCATATGAGTGAAATACTCTCGAGAGGGACGTTAAACAACAAACAAACAAACAAACAACAACAATAGCATAAAAATTACAGTAAGTATTATGTTAAAAGTGCATGCTACATGTATATGTAAAATAATTTATTTCTCATTTTACTACAGATCTGAAAGAGATATCAACGTGTTTTCCATGGAAATGAGCGTGTACATTTGCCTTAGTTTTGAACAAGTTAGATTTGACAATTATATTTATTACGTTTCGACACCCATAGAGTCCACGGTCAACGAGAGTGTATATGCTAATTCAAATCTTTTAAACGTATCCATGAATGATGTTTGTAGTCTTCCCCAGACAACAGACAACATGCATAGCCTAATCAAAAATGGTAAGAAATGTTAATTATTGTGATTAGGTTACTTATTTTAAAAATTTCTCCACACAATAATAGTTTTAAGACTTGATTTAACAAAATGTAAAATAAGAAAATGATTTCCAGAACTCAATTCTTTACAAACGTAATATAAAGTGTTTATAAAAAAAAAATACATTACAGCGTTTGGAGTTAATGTAAGAAAAGAAAATTTGCCTTCATATTTTATAAATTAAAAAAAAGACAAACAATGCTTCAGATTTTTGACAACAAACTTCTTTCATAGTGTCGACTGATGATATAGTTAGTATCGAGTGTCCCAACTTTTTACGGAAATCCTTTACGAACCTTAACACCGAGGAAAATGGTATGGAAAACGTGTGTGTAAATGGTAGTATCAACGGATGTTTGAAGAACACTCAGCTCGTTATCACAAGTCCATCTTGCCATTCCAGTACACAAATTCCAGGTACATAGGACATACATCATCATTCTTACACTCAACATTTATTTTCATGATACACATCTATACTTATAAATTAATAAATTTTGCAAATAAACTCAGAAACGGGTGCACCAGAGTTCTTACTTACTCCTCTTACAATACACTAGACACAAGCTGATGTCCGTAAACTATATTTAGATTTCACTCGCATAGTAAGTATCGTACATTAAATTAAAAGTCTACTTTCATTTGCTATAAACAGCCATGAAATAGCTAAAACGTGAGTACGGTGGCGTTTCCGGTTGGCGGATCTAAGTTACTGGCAATTTTTAATGAAACTGACAACAAGCAATCGTTTATTTATTACATAAAACGTCATCACTGAATTATTCAATCAAAACTCGATTTAAATGATATAAAAGAAATAAGTTGTGATAACCGATTAAAAAGGGAAATGTGCAAAATATTTTCGTCATTCGCCGATCTTTATATTGACGGAAGCTTCTAGAACATCATATAGCATCGAGCCCGATGTTAAGGGACAAAAAACGAGGCGATTATAGCTACATGACCATAAATAAAGCTTTTGTGTAAATGGTCATAATTGAAATAATGGTAAACCACTGATAACACTATATAAGTTGTAAATATAATTAAATATCGAAAGACTATAACATATACATGTATGTAGTAGGTTTTCCTAATTAATTTATCGGTAAAATTTGTATATATTCCTTACTGAGCGCATCGTGGCAACGAACCCGAAGTACAATTTGTACTTCGTAATAAACTTGTATACATGAAAATAGAAAATTAATGAATAAAATA